TACTAACACACATATATATATATTATATATCAACATCTGCAATGTGATATATATTTATATATATAAATTTTTTTCCTGCTTAGAGCTGTGATGATTTGAAACATCTTGAAAATTAATGGGTGGATTACCATGAAATTCATGTCATCCCACAGGTCAATTTTAGCATCTTACTTACTGTTCTCTCCATCAGTCATATTTCTATTATTTTGCTGCATACATATTATGTTTTTAATCTAATTTCAAAAAAATGAATGCCATTCCCCACATCCCAAAGTTTAGTTTTTACTACTAATACGCCAAATGAAGATGATACAGCATGGAGCAACGTTTGCTATGCTAAACATTTAAGCATGTTAGCATGAAACCACAAACATGATCCTGAAGTCTGACAAGAGTCTGTTCTCAAAACATGTGCATACTTCCTATTTTGATCACTTGCATCACAAGGATGCTGGATTCTTGCTAAATGGCCTCATAATTCATTGTACCACACTTCAAGTTATGCGCTTATTCTTGTTGTGGTTTTGACCAAAAAGTAAAGAGTCACCAGATTCCAAAACAAAAAAAGAGAAGGTACAATGAAAATTCAAAAAAGAAGACAATAGATGTAAAATCTAGCTTAATAATGTATGGATGTTTAAATTGGCCTTATCAATTTTCCAATATGCCACTGATAAAACACATATCATTACAATTGTGTTACATATCAGCACATTCTCATTTCAGGCATTTACAGTTAACTCTATCATTTACTGGACAAAGATATGTTTTGGTTAGCTTTGTCTCTTTACCACAGGAGATTTTAATTTGTTTAGGTATTACAGCCATTTTTGTACACAGTTTCCCATTTCCAGGGGCTCGAAATGAGCTCAACTGGACAGTTGACTGATAAGTGTTGCATTTGCATTTTGAATCTTTTCACTAGGATTTTAAAGGTCCAAATAGATGCCAGCGCAAATGAGGGTTAGGCTGAAAAAAAAACAAAAACAAAATAAACCTGCCAGAGGGACAGCAAAAACTTTAGGGTTGGTCAAATCAGCAATCTGGTCCATTGTTAAATTAAAGCACTGGCCAGCTCAGCAACTCATCACAGAAGGCAACTGAGTGCATGATCACAGAATTATTTCCATGGTTAACAAAAACAACAAAAAACAAACACAATCTAACCAAGTCAAGGAGGGGGTGAGCGTGTCACTGTCAAGGTTTACAGTAAACGGATGCCTTAATAAATGAAAATACAGTTTACAACAAGGTACAAACTGCCCATTTTACTCAAGAACACGAAGGCCAGATGGGACACATTATCTGTCACACATGGTGGAGGTGATGTTATGGTATGGTCATGTATGGCTGCCAGTATAAGCAGGTCACTAGTGTTTATTGATGATGTGACTGCTGACAGAAGTAGCAGGATGAACTGTGATGTATACAGGGCTATACATCTGCTCAGATTCAGCTAAAAGCAGCAAAACTGATTGGACAGTGCTTTACAGTAAAAATGCATAATGACCAACAGCATACTGGAAAAATAACCGAACAGTCTCTCAACAGCCACAACCCAATATATCATGTTTTGAATTTTTTTAATACAAAATTGAAGGCAGAGAGTCCCACAAGTGGGCAGCAACTGAAAGTGGCTGCAGTAAAGGCCGAGCACCTCACAGCATTTGGTGATGGTTGTTGGTTCCAAACTTCAGGCAGTCATTGACTGCAAAGGATTGTCATGCAAATATTAAAAATAATCCTTACATTTAAAATTATCTTAGTTTGTCCAATTACTTTTGAGCATCTGAAATTGATGGACTGTGTGCACAAATGGCTGTAGTTCTGAACCAATTAATGGCAAAATGTTGTTAAACTTAAATTACGGTCTGCACTTCAATCACATATTGATTGTTTGAGCTAAAATTGACTGTGGTGGTGTACAGAGGGAGAAAAACAATGTCTCTTTGTCCAACAATTTATGTCCCTAACAACACTTTAGTTTAATGCTGTCTTTTTTGCTTGGTTCCATTTCTTTTAGGGTGTTGTGGCCAGGTGTGTCTATTACAAACTTTCACTAATTAGATTATTTGGTTGTGCTCATTAGTCATGATAATAGACAGATGGATTCAGCCAGTCACCTGCCAAGTATTTTGAAACTGGCTGCCTTGTCCCAAGCAGTTTCAAAGGAGGGCTATCAATCGTTTTGTTTTTTCCACTTTCCATTTTGGGGTTGCTGCTGGGCTGGGAAGTTATGTAAATAATAAATAAATAAAGAAGATGGGTTGTGGGTTATTGTGTGTCAAGCAATATGATGGGCTGATTCAACAAGGACTGAAAATTAGGACTGTTCAAGTCAGTAACCCTTTAAACAAATAAAGGGAAATGTCATGCTTTGATATTAAAATTGTTTGCTGTATCTGACAAAACTAAAAAACAATACTTTAAATGTTCTTTTCGGCAGCATTTTTCTTAACATGAGCGCACACACTAAATGGAAGAGCAGCAGGATTTTCTATTTCCTACCAGATTATCAGTAGGAAATAGAAAATTTCCTACTGATGTAAATGTTTTTTTTAAAAAATCTTCCTGAGAGTTCAGAAATGTCTGTCCACCTGTCTGTGAAAAAAACATCTGTCAGGGCGATGATCTGAACATTTGGACCCATCAGCATGAATTACTTAAACATAAAGACTCTTTTAGTAAACCTCGCTTACTCTTTTCCTCCCTCTTTATTACAAACAGCATTTTTTTATTAGAGTCAAAAAAATTCTGATGTCTTTTCTGACGAAGAAGCTACACAGAGTACTGGTTGTTGCATGGTTTTTTAATGTTTAGTTGACCAAATATAATGGCTGAATTAACAGTCAGGGCCAACTAAACCTACTATGTTTATGTTTTTCTATTGCTGTATGTTAGCCACTATGCCAGAGGCTTTGTGTCTAAAATGTAGTTTATTTCCTTTAAACATAGACACATGACGTCTATCCATATGAACATTGTTAATATAATTAGTAAGCCTGTTCTCAAATTAGGAATATATAAGACATGAAGTATGAAAGCACACACAGCTCAGGACTTAGAATAAGCCAGAGTGTAAAATAATAAATGAAATCTTACGTTACCTGACCTAGAGTTAAATACAATTTTGTGGTAAGTACAGAGGGGATCTGTTTTTACAGGTGCTGTTCAAATTACCATGAAAATGTGGAATAAATCAACATATTTGTCAGTTGTTGAAAAATTACAGCAAATGTAAATGGAGCTAAACAGTCCTCTTTTTGCTTTTACTTGATGGAAAGCAAACACTTACAGCTCTGTGACTGTTCCAGTCATACTTACTGAGTAGAATTTAAAAATGTAGAACTTTTCCATATTTGCGCAGTATTAAAACAGTTTATGAAATTACATTTTATTTATATGGCACCAAATTATAACAGTTACCTCAAGGCGCTTTAAATTGAAAAGTATAGAGTACCTACAGTAATACAGAGAAAACCCCAGCAACCCCCTATGAGCAAGCATCTGGCAACAGTGGGAAGGAAAACTCCCTTTTAACAGGCTTAAAGCTCAGGGAGGGGCACCTATTTGCCATCAATGTTTGATGATGACTGGAGGAAGACAGGACAGATCTTCAGTAGATGCTCTTTCATACAATGTAATAAAGTTTAACTTTAAAAAAACTACAGTGTAACTTTAACTCACATCACAGAGGTCTACTTTTTTTTTTTATATATTGGTGTAAGTATTACTTTTCCTTTAGAGAAAAAAATCTGGAACACAATAAAAGTTCTATACTCTGTTTATTTTTCAACAATAGCCATAAGAAGTTCATTTCTGAAAAGAAAAAAAACAACCCAGGCTGTCTGCCTGGGATCCCTTCTCTCAAAATTCACTGAAATTTTATGGGTTTTGATTATCTCACATTATCCAAGAGTTGAAGTTTACTTAGTTCCATGTGATATGGTAGGAAGCTCCAGAACAACTAGATGGTGAGGTAAAATTTCACTAGTCACCATTTCAAGAATGACAAACAAACTTTAAAAATTAGCTTTGAAGACAACAGGAATTATTGATTACCTATGTGAACATCTGTAGACTAAGTCTCACTGCTGGACAAACACCTATCATCAGGTGAATGTCATGTGATATCATTTAAAAAAGAAAGAAAGAAAGAAAAAGCTCCAGAAAAGCTAATAAAGCTTCATGGCCTAACTCAGAAAAGCATTTTATCCTGCAGTAGCACGCTCAGTTAAGGCTGAACGGAGACTACTTACTGTATTGGATTCTTGGAAACATCACGTCGTGTAGTCTACAATCCACTTTACAGCTAAACACGAGTGTAAGCTGTGAGGTAAAAAATCGAAATAATGAATAGTCGACCAACACCTCGGTCATGGAGGGCTCGGTGATGTGTGTATGTGTATGTGTGTGTGTGGGGGGTGGGGGGTGGGGGGTTACAGAGATGGAGAGAGGCTTGTACTTTAAAATGCAATGTGACAGCTCAGGAAAAGGCGGGGAAGCTGATAATAAAGGCGCTGTTATTGGATCAATCTGCACCCGAATGCCCCGTAAAAGACACTTACACACCATACGGGAGCGCGCACACATGCACGATCGCGCAATTGAAGTGAGAGTGAAGGGAAAGAGGGAGCATGGTTATTGCGTTAAAAGTTAAAATAAAAAAAATGTTTATTTCTAGAAAAAAATGCAGGGTTTATTCCTGGGGATTTCATGGAGTTGGTCTTTCAATCACTTAGCTATTTCCACACGGCAGCTTAGCCTCGTCCTCATTGTTTTGACAGGGCTGAATTAAAGGACCGTGCCAGGTGTAATTAGCGATCGATCTGAAAGGGGGGAAAGCTCTCTCTCTCTCTCGCTGTCTCTCTCTTTCTCCTCCCTTTTTGCTTTGCTTCCTTTAGCCTACTCCATTAACCGCGTCTCTGACGTCACGTGGCGATTAACGTTTCTTATTGGTCCCGCGAGCAGATGGAGGAGTCCTAATGAGCTGGCTCGCGGAGAGAGGGAGCAGGGTTGACATATCGGCTGGACCGTAAACGTGAAATACCTCCCCTAGCCTGGTCTCCGCCGTTTCACTACAGACCGCACCGTGGCCGTGGGAGACGGCTGTCTGCCTGGGATCCCTTCTCTCCCCCCCTCCCCACCTCAGCCTTCGTATCTCCTCCTCCGGTTCCTCTTCGCCGCTTCTTCCTCCTCTGCCCGACTTTTTGTTTTGACTGCATGTTCAGCCACACTGCCTCCCTCTGCATCTTCACTTCGGCCCCGCCGCAGCCCGGGCGAGCATGGACAGCCGTGTACTCGAGCATCCTCACGCCCAGTTCGGAGGCTCCTTGGGCGGGTTGGTGGGTTTCCCGTACGCGCTCGGCCCCCATCACCACCACCACCACCATCACCAGCACGTCTACGAGCTGGCTAGCGGACACCAGCTGCAGTCCGCAGCCGCCGTGCCCTTCTCTATAGACGGATTACTTAACGGCTCCTGCTCGGCCTCGGTGGTCAGCTCTAACTCGCTGCTCTCCTCCGACAGTCAGCAGTTCAAACTCTCAGGTAGGCTGGGCTATTGTTTTTTGTTTTTTTAATTATTTTTTTACTGCCTTATGAGGCACACAGAGGTGCATGAAAACAGTGTACTGTACTAGGAAGTTGGGTAAATCAAAATTTCCTCGGCTTTTCTCGCTACATTGAAACATTTTTAATGGAAATATGCCACTTTTTATGATTCTGGGGGCCAGGTTTTACAGGAAAATCAGCCTACAGAACAAACATAGTCTTTAAAAGTTTTTAACCTAGGTTGTTTTTTTTTGTTTTTTTTTTTTAAACAGAAGAAGAAGAAGACAAACAGAGTTTTAGTAATTTTGCGGTAAAGGTTACAGAAGAGGCTAAGATAAAAACTTGTCATTGCAGGGTGCTAATTCATTTGGCCAAAATTAAACGTTAAAGGCCTAATGAACACAAAATTGTCTCTTATATCAAATAAAGTCATGCATTAATTATTTGTTTATTTATCGGGACGTGGTTTATGTCGAACAGCAAAAAGAAAAGTGATAGTTGTCAGTTTTACAACAAACTGGTACAAGCTAACTTGAACCTCGTAGCATGAACGTCTCTCTCTCTCTCTCCCTCACTCACACGTGCGCTCACATACACACACTTCTACACACGCAAACACACACATACACACACACATACTTACACGTCTTCAGATTCTGGGGACCCGGATAAGGACAGTCCCGGTTGTAAACGGAGGCGCACGAGGACGAATTTCACCGGGTGGCAGCTGGAGGAGCTCGAGAAGGCTTTCAACGAGAGTCACTATCCGGATGTGTTCATGCGGGAGGCGCTCGCGCTCAGGCTTGACCTCGTGGAGTCACGGGTTCAGGTAAAGGCACACAGCAAATTAGACACAAGATTTGGGCACACTCAGGAGCATTTATATTTCTTTTTTCTCCCCTCGAGATGGACGTAGCCCAACACCAGACCCCAGATTTATTTTGCTGCTTCTCTGAATTTTCTCTACAACAATATAGTTTTGTCATGGTCCGTGGAGGCTTAGCCTGGCCAATATTCAGGTAGCTGTTTGCCAGTTATCAAAGCGTCAATAAAGAGTCTCCTTTGAATTATGCATGTAGGCAACCTATTGATTTATGGGTTAATAAAAAACATGGCTATTTACTGAGCAAACCAAGGGGGGATATAGTTAATAGAATTCTTCCTTCACCTTTCATTTTTTGTTTTAACACCCAAGCTATTATTATTATTATTATTATTATTATTATTATTATTATTATTATTATTATACAAAGAGTCTGGTGTCAGTTTGTAAACAATTTACAGTTATTAGATTTTAGTTTAACTATATATATTTAAAAGCTGAGTTATTGCATTTTTATTAAAACTTTTAGGCTATTATTATTATTAGTAGTACTATTAAGTGCAACAATAATGAATACTGGTGAGCTATTAATAAAACGATTAATTTTACAGTATATCTGATAATATTATTATTAATAATAATAATAATGACAATAAAAATAATAAAAACTTATTAACAACATTCATATAATATAAAAATACTTTAAGGTAAATATTTATTTTTTGAGGATCTGGATCATCACTTGTTAAATTGGTGGTTTAATTTGACTTAATTATAATAACAGCAACAATAATAATAATAACTTAATGCGTGATCTAGTTTGTTGCTTGTAATTAATTCGCTGTGTTTAAAATAATATTCTGTATAATTTACCGTAGAGGCTGTTCATGTATATTTGCCATGTATAGCTCTCACATGGCTGTATGAGTGAAAGCGGCAACGAAGCACAGCTCTCCGTTGATGTTGTTTTGGGGATTTCGCTCCTAAACCGCAGATTATTGTTCCCTCAAGCTTCTTAACGCTCCTTTATCAGCAGGTTTGCGGGGGAAAGATATAGCCAACATTAACAATTCATAAGAAGCGCCTTTGTCGCGCGCGATGCTGGTCTCGCCTCCTTATTATGCAATATTCTCGGATCTTTTTACCACTCCAGACCTTATCAGTGCCGAACACGCGGGCACGAGCGCGCCCAGAGGCCGGGCGTGGAGCGCTCCTGGGCGGGGGAGGCTCCCTTTCTTGGCTCGCTGCGGAGGGAGGAGAGCCAGGGATTGCCGTGCAAGTGCCACAGTCCCTCCGACCCACAGAAGCGGACGGGATATGACCGATTTAAGCCAGTGTGCAGTCAAATGTAATCGACGGAGGTGCTCATCACACACGCTCGTTCGTAATTAACACCTGCACATCTGCGCATCTGCAGGTTCCACCGCTGTGACCTATTAACCTATGTGCTGCGCACGTGTGTAAAGCTGCAGTAAACAAAGAAACACGGAGAACGAAAGCAGTGATTTCACTTGTTTCGAGGCTTTGTGGGATTTGGGTGGATTTACAGGCAGTTTTTGGTTTTGTGCTTACCTTCTGGTCAGACACTGCTTTATCAGTTTATCCTGGCAGACGAGAGGTCTGCTGTTGCCATAAGGCTGTCAGACACTCTATTTAAAAAACCTTTTGTCTAATGCAGCCCCACTCAGTGAAGTCATGTAATGGTTTTTATGGCTGTGATAATTAAAAAAAAAGAAGAAAAATATGAATCCTTAAAAAATAATATAGAGTTTATTCTTTTTTTTCCTCCGATGCTTGTTAGAAAGGGAATCTTTCTGAATTCAGAAGATATTTTTGATTAGAGGTATCCATGTTAATTTAAGATATTCTGTAATTCACTATTTACATGGTTATTAAACAGATACGTGGATTGTATTTTTTTTCTGATAGGCTGTAATATGTTAGCAAATTGATAAAAATGCAAATTGAGTCTTGGATGAGTATTTCTGTAACAACAGCAGGTAAAAAAAATTATAAAGGAAAAGGAGCAAATCCCCTCAGCATTTTTTTCAGATTCGCCTAAAAAACCCTTTAATATTTGATAAACTATTAAAACAAAATTCAGTTTAATTGTGTCAAAATTCACCAAAGCAACAGGATGTATAAAATGACATTTGCTTAAAAGTCCTTTTTGTTATATGTTGTTGTGAAAAAAAGACCATTCTCCTGCAAAATTCACCTTGTGTGCTAGTGTTCCACCTGTGCATGTATTTTCATGTGTATATTTGTGTGTACATGTGCATAGGTTTGGTTCCAAAACCGACGCGCTAAATGGAGAAAAAAGGAGAACACAAAGAAAGGGCCGGGTCGACCTGCTCACAACTCCCACCCGACCACCTGCAGCGGCGAGCCCATGGACCCGGAGGAGATAGCACGAAGGGAGCGCGAGCGGGAGGAGAAGAAGAAGAGGAAACAGGAGAGGAAGCTGCTCAAGTCCCAGAATAAACTCCTTGCAGGTGACAGCTTCCACACACCCGGCGGTTCGGAGAGCGACAGCGGGGTCTCCCAGTTCACTGACAGCGAGCAGCAGTCTTCTAACCTTACTCTTCACATAGAACTGCCAGCATCGAAGAGTACGGGAGGACACCAAACTGAATCCAGCTGTGACCAAACGCGGCACGACTTCAGCCAACTACAAAACCACCAAAACCAAAGAACCACAGCAGACTCGGAGCAGGTTTCACCAGGCAGCACGCACAGCTCCAGCCCTGGAGGCCCGAGGTCCTCCACCCTGCAGAAACGAAACCCTTTCAGCGTGGAGAGCCTCCTCTCTGACACCATGCCTCGACGGAAATCTCAGCTGGACTTCCCCTCGCTGCCTAATCAGAGGACACTGGTGGGAAAAGGTCACTTCTTGCTTTACCCAGTTACCCATCAGCCTTTGGGTTTTCTAGTGCCCCAAGCGGCCCTGAAGGCCACACCATGTCAGGACAGCATTAACAGGCTCAGCCTGGGACAGAGGTGTGTGCCAAGTGAAGGGAGCCCCGCTCCCTCTGACCTCTGCAGCTTTGGCAGCATCACCAAGCCGCTGAACTCGGATCATATACAGCACGACACGCAGCATCACCACAATCACGTTAGCAGCAGAGCGGATGGAGCCGACGTGGAGGACTGTGGTGGTGACTGCGGGGATGGAAGATTCCCCGTTTCTTCTCCACCAAGCAGTTCAACTCAGACAGCTCGGGTCAGGCTGAGCTCCACGCAGTCCAGCGACAGCGGCGAGGAGAGGAGTCCCAGAGTTCAATTGGAGGCGGCGACCAATGGCTGCCAATCTGCTGAGCTGTGTGCAAAAGAGAAGGGTGCAAGAGAGGAGCAAGCGTCTCCAGACCTCTCCGAGTGTCTCAAGGCAAACACAGACTGTCAAGAAACACCCGGAACAGATGGAGAGGATGTCGATATGGACTAACACTTTCAAGGAGCAAACATAAACAAAGGACCAGGAACACCGCTCAGACTATTCAAACATTCCCAAAGCTCTGCTGAGATGCTCTAAAACATATCAGGAATCAGGAGACTTAATCCTCATCTATTTTTGAATCAGAAGGTGTGATCAATCCAGATGGCCCCCCATCAAAGCTGTGGCTGTCCTTATATTTGGGCTTCAGGCCTCAAACACCTTTAGAAGCAGGTTCTTTCTTTTTTCTCTCTCCTTTTATTCTTTTGTTTTCTTCCCTTTTTTTGGTGAAAAACTTGTAACAAAAACTAGGCTACAATAAACATCTTACACACAACAAAAATCCTCAGATATTGTAAAAAAAAAACCAACAAAAAACGAGAAAATGATATTTATATGTAAACATTTTGATAAATAAAGTTATTGTTTAAATTGAATCACTGTCTTTCCAGGGCCATATTGAAAAGGGAGGAGCAGGGGAGGGGAAGAAGGTGAGATTCGGGTGTAGGGGAGTGCTGCTGTGTGGCAGAACCTCGGATCATGGCGGCTGGAGTTTTGTCGTGTTACAGCAGATAAATCCCCCCTTTTTTCCCCCCTCTGAGTAGTGAGCCGGAGCTGGGGCTCAAGTCCGTCTGGCTGTTTGTATTTATTGCTTTAACAAATTTATTCATTTGAAAGGCCGAGCTGGAATGAGGTTAGTGGCCGCGGGCTATAGGACCCTGCGCCTCCTGCTGAGTTTTGATATGAAAGTAATTATTTTCCCACTGGCTGCCGCGGGTCTCGAGGCAGTTTCCCCCACCGCCACCACCGCCGCCGCCGCCCCCTCCTTTCAGCCCAAAGGGTTATTAGACATTACCGATTTCTAGTGATACGGAATCACATAAACTTCCTACAATAATAGAATTAGCATGAAAGGCAGGGGTGTCAAATTGAAATGGGAAAATAATAGCCGCGCCAGCTGCACCGCGAATGTGTGCGTGCGTGTGCCCGTGTGTGCATGAGAGCGCATAGTCTATTGAGCGCGAGGAGGAGGAGGAGGAGATGGTGGTAGATTCGTGGGGCGGAATTTTCATGAGCTGCCGCGGTTGTCAGACGGCCCTTGTAGTCGGCTATATTAAGATAGATGTTCGATGATATCCCTCATTGTTCTGTCGCTTATATTGATGTTGCAGCGTTATCGCCCTATTGATCATGTGTCGCACATAATAGGACAGGCGCGCGCCCGCCTGCCTGCTCCTTTTTACAAAAGCGCCCGGGCCCCTCGTCATTTGTTCTAATAGGACCGCGAGTCCCTGGAGGGGAGACAGATAAAGATATAGGAGAGGGGAGAGAGAGGGGAGAGAGGGGAGGCGAGTGATGTGCGGGGCTTGCATTAATAATTTTTTTTGACCAATTGTTGTCTGAGCAGAAAGAAAAAGTGAAGGAAAGTGAAGAATGGGCGTATTAAAGATATTTAGAAGACCCCACCACCGCCACCCCTCCGTAGAAATGTGCCAGGTGTGTGCCCGCTCGCGCTCATTGGGCGTGCGCCCCGTTTAGAAAAGAGTGTGTTTAGCTTATGAAGTGTAAACGCCACCAATTCCCTGGAAACTGAAATCCCAATTATTAAAACCATCAATTCCGGAGCGCAGTGCGCAGAGGAGCCGTGTTGACAGCCCGGCTAAATATCCCTGATCCCTCCCGGTCACCTCGCCTTTATTTGCAAATAAATTGAGGTGGATCCGAGGGACGGAGCTTTACTTTGCTGCGCCGACCTAAAATGAATTTCCGTGCCTGAGTCCCTTTAATAATATTTACATAATTTTCGCTCGGTGACTCTGCTATTTGCGCGGCAGGAAGCTGGTGGTGATGGTGGGGAGGGGGGGCTTTACAGGAAAATAATTAGACAAGAGGACGAGGAGGGGAGCGAGAGTGGAAGAAACAGCAGGAGGAGGAGGATGGGTTAAGACCGAAGCCGAACACTAAATTCCCAGACAGCTAAAATCAATGAAAGTAATAACCCTATTATTTAATTCATAAGGACATTATTTTCCCATAAGGCCTCGGGAAACGTCCCCTTCGACCGAAACAATCACATTAAATTGTTCATTCCACGTGCGCTGTGTGAAATTCCGACTTTTATACTCTCTCTCTCTCTCTTTTTCTTTTCTTTTCTTTTTTTTTATTTGGCGGGTGAAACCGCTTTATTATAATCGGTTAGTTTCGAGAGAGCGATTAATTAGAAAATATAGGTCTGATCTCCCTTCAGCAGGGCCTTGTGTGTGTGCGGAAACTGTGCTGCAAGACATAACAAACCACAAATGAGTCTTTGGTAGACTATAAAATTGGACCCCTCCCTTCTTTCCAAATAATTAAAGGAATAAACTGAAAAATAGATTAAACCTATAAACCTATGGGTAGAAAACAGGCGTCCACAATAACCCAGGCCAACACACGTGCCTCCTCACGAGCAGCTTTGAGAGCCACAAATACACGAACCAAAGCGTCTCGAAGTGCCTGGCCTTAATACATTTTGGAAGTGATGATCTTAACCTTTATTTGCAGACGTAACAATGTAACAAGGCACAGCGGAAATCAGACATGGACCTCCATTCAGCTCCCATTTATTAGTCGATTTTTGCGTGATTTCCCACTTTTTGTGAAAAGTTCGCAAAGTCCCTATCTATCTATCTATCTATCTATCTATCTATCTATCTATCTATCTATCTATCTATCTATCTATCTATCTATCTGTCTGTGTGTGGGGTGAAACACGGGGAGAGAGGAAAAGAGAGAAAGCCAGCGAGAGGGAGAGAGAGAGAGATGTTTTGGTGGCACCGACACAAACGACCAATCGATCAAGCCGAGCCTGGACCGGGCAGGGCCTCCCGCTGTGTCCGTGCCGCTCATGCATCACACTTTATGAATTCAATTTCAACCGGGAGAAATTTTCAATTTGAACGCGCGATCATTACGGCGTGGGGGGATAGCGTAAATTGTTTTTGCTCTATTATGCATTCGGACGCCATCATTTTTCTTTCTAATTACCGAGGTGTCAGCGCGGCCTGTCACCCCGGCGCTGATTTTCAATTTAACTGATCATCATACATTCATTTTCCCATTTGATAAATCTGCTATCTAGACGCGCCCGCCATGCCCGGAATATTAAGCGGCGCTGGGGCGCAGTAATAGGGGGATGTGTATGCGGCAATGAGCGCGGATCAGCCAGCTAATTTAGCACCTTCCACATTCCCCGTCTCCATCCCCCATTTCCAATTCTCAAGAGGCAAGAAAACACACACACACGCGCGCACCCAGGAAAGGAGAGGAAAGAGGAGAGTCCGATGGCTGCATAACCTCCACCAGTGAAGAAAAACCCTCAGGTCAGAAAGAATCACAGAAATATTGCGAGAGAAGAAGAGAGGGGCTTCCAATCCACGCGTTTTTTTCTTGTTCAATTTACGAGCAGGATTAATTAACACTAATTGAGTTCTTCAATTCTTGTTATTTTTATTTAATAGAAACAAATTTGCGCAATTAATTATGTGCATAATTTCAAGAACCTATTACACTCCCCTCCCCTCTCCACCTATCTGTCTCTGTCTCTCCATCACCTCCCCATGCTCCAGAACGGACTATATTAGCAGCTTTTGTCATTAGCTTTCGGGCATCTTTGATCCGCTCTAAATGGGCCTACAGCCAACATCTGTGACCAACTATAACCTGGTGTGGTGCCCAATATAGGTTTGAATCCCGTCTAACAGGAAGCTGGTTTATATGAGTAAACAAGCAAGTTCTTAGTCTTTAATGTAGAAGATGTATGATGAAGAAAAAAAAAAAGTCATAGGCCTCAAGGTCTGTTTCATGTTGTCAAAGGTTTGGGTTATTCCAGACTGCTTTGTTTTGTCTTTATACACTTATACTGTGGTGGTTTACGGTTTTTCCACGTGTCATCCTCAAGTTAAGCACTTTATAACAGAAAGTTTGCTGTGTGAATATGCACTATTAACAAAGAAAGAAACTGAGATGTGATGGAGAGTAGACCAAAGTTAGAGATTTCTAGGCTTGAGTTCTGTTTCCAGGTTTAAGATCAACTTTCCTATTCAATCATGACGTAACCCCTGTGGCAGATTTGGGGGGGGGAATCAAAAATCAAAAAATTAGCATAATCAACATCACTTATCATTTTTGAATCACTCATTTTTAAAAATATAATCACCAGTCCTTTCTCAAATAAATTATCCATCCTTTATATTAAAGGAGATCTTAGTTGGGTTAATCATTATGTTTATTTTATTGTTCTACTGAATACTTATGAACAGCAGCCCCTGGACCAGAGTTCAGTAATCATTATGCTGTCTGTGGTCTTTGGATAAACAGAAAACACAGTTAACATCGGTTTTATCATTTAGATATAACCCAATTATAATTTACAACGAAATAAAAACAGCTTAAAAACATGTCGAATCTCTTCAGTGGCCAAATATGTGTTTCTCTGGTTAAATATGAACTTTTTCTTTTCTATATTTCTTAACAGAAGGCTGCTTTTTGATCAGGGTTTCCTTTCACGCCCCTCCAAATCCTAAACAGACCTAAATGTTTTAATTCTCTAAAGTGTTCAAACAGTTAACCAGGAGGCTTTAACCTTACCTTCTGCCTCTACAGTGTGGCTGAGATGGCACACTTCATTAACTGTGTCTCTAAGCTTTATAAAGCATGGCCTGTACCGTCTTTAAGTGGCGCAAGCCTTTGTGGATGCCAGAAGAAATCGCCTACAAATTTAGAATCATTTACTTTTTAAAAGGTAAGCTAAACAGGTGAAATGCTGAATTGAACATAAGCAACATCAAACAATGAAGACTCAAAGCCAGTGTCAATAAATATAACGGCTGAATTTCGCTCCATAGTTTCTGCGCGCTCCTCTTTGGAGCATCTGGATGCTGAGTGAGACGCAAACACTCCCAACAAGCCCACCTTGTTTTAGGTGCCAGTGGGTGCAGGGAGGACTGGGTGTTTGTTGCGATGTAATGAACGTTTATGGGCACAGAGCAGCTTTGGTTTTGTCGTATTCTTTGTTTCATTAGCCCAGTGGTTGTAATAAATGCCAGCGAGCCAACGGGATAGATTTTAATTAAGTCAGTGAGAGATGAGTGGAGTGACACAGAAAGCGGGGCAGGGCGGGGAGATGAAAGTGGAGGGGGACAGCTTTTCAATAAATCGGTTCGCTCAGGGGTTAGTCGGTGATTTCCTCGGCAAAGTGTTGAGGCCGAGCAGGACTCGCAGTAATTTGGTTGATAAATCAGCGGCGTTAGGGGCATGAAGCTTGCCGGTCGACCGGTTGGTTCTGCGTGTGATTTATGTGTTACCCGGGGGTCGTACACAAGCCCATGACAGTCCAGGATGA